AAATAAATAAAATTACAGTGGGCTTAAAATACATCGCCAAATACTTCAGGATCCTAAAATGTGCCACATCATTGGCAAGTGCATTTAGTGATTGTATGGTATTATTGTACTACATTTGAGAACAAATGACGTTTTTAAAGTGATGCTGCACACAAGGCCTTGTCCTGCCAGCAGAGAAATCGGCTTACGACGTAATAAGACAAATAACCACGATCCGACAGTAACAATTCATAAAGTTGCCTAGCAACGCACCCACACCATTTCCAGTCGAAGTCAATACAATACGTGAAGCCAGTGTTCAGAAATCGATCCTGAATATGAGACAGACAGACAGACACACTAGGTTTACTGGGACTCGATAATTCTGTAATTACAGTTCTGTTTCGATTGCCCTCTTTACGCTGAACGATAGGCATTTGTATAACGGAAAGCCGTCTCTACCGGAGCGTTTTGTAAACTCGATACGTACGTGTGTGTAATGGTTCGCAAATCCCCCGATAGAAGTAAAATACAACTGGCGCGTGACGAAGCGCTTTTATGACAACGCGGATAGGATTTCTCAAGTAACATGACGGTGATGTCACTTTGTGGCAGAGGCGTTGAGGTGTACAGCTCAAGTGAGCCATGCTGGTTTCAGGAACACCGACCAAATGTTTTCTTTGTCAAGAAGTTTTTTCTTTCACACTGAAACACTGTATTCAATTAGACCACTAGTGTTCAATACATGATTATCCGTACTTCACATTGCGGTCAGCGCAGAAATTACATAATGAACGAGTAAAAATATAAACACTTACAATCTATCAGATTGGAGGCCGAGAAGTTTCTCATTTTCTTGAAACCTTAAAATTAAACGTGTGAATCATTTGAACGTTCACTTGGAGCCGGGAAGCTGCGGACTGAAAGACAGGGGTTTGATTCTCGTCATATGCCATCGCTTATTGAATGGCTCTGCGGTCCACCCAGCCTCCTAAACGATGGCTTCGGGGGGATTAAGAGGCCGTAGTCTGAAGATGATTGCCCATCTTCATCTAGCACTTAGTTTAAGAATGCACGGAAATACACCTCCATGACCTCATACTCCATCACAGCGTAGCGCGTAGGTACAGAGCCAATTTGGGATTGTTCAGTGTGTAACAAACGCTTCCGCTGTGTTCATTAAAACATTCAGCTCTTTAATAGCAATACCAGGAAGTTTAATACCGCTAATAAAAGAAACCTTGTAACTGGACACGATCTCAAGTCTTCCATCTGCCTGTCATTATCAGAATTTTTATCTTTAATAGTCATTTCAGTCTTATCTTTATGTTTTTTTTCGGTATCTAGCATTATTCAAGAATTACCCACTATAAGGGCGATATTCCTAATGATGGAAAAATCAAGCACCCCTGAAACGTCGGTAATCTTCTACCAGACTACACAGCGCAACCCATCAAACAGCCATCATAATAATCTTATCCGTGAGAACCTCAGATCTCGTCTATCCACAATTCCTTAGGCTACGTGTACACCCAATCGCTCAGATACTCGTAATGTAATGTCCTAAACTGCTGGCTTAATCGTTGTGAAGTGTAAATATTTTCCTCAGTACTTCTCTCTTAAACAACTGTAATCTACTTTATTATCCCCGAAGCGTTTAAGTTTAATAATAACCACACAAATCAAGTGGTGTGTTTTGCTTTGTGTATCTCAGCACTTGGATAAGTGAAGGCAGTGAATGTTATTTAACATTATCATTAGTTTTAATGTTATAAAGGCTTGTGATCACTGAATCAGACAAATTCAGTCCTAAATAATATTCTAACCAGAATCAAAAACCTTAACACAACCTGGTCATTGGTATTTTTCCAATATATTACTACATTTCAAGGTTATTTATATAGACAAATGTCTTACCTCTCAAACTTCGTTGAAGTAAACTTCATGTCTTCCAATTTGTCCTGCGGTCGTTAAACACTTCATGCAATAAACACTTTCAGGCACTAATCTGTTGCAAAGCGTTGTAGCAGAGAGGATTAATAATAATCACAAATATGTACCTTGCGCCATCTGACCACAACAAGAAACGACCCTGAAGTTCGTGTGACGAACGCTCCGTCCGAGAGTAAGCCGGGAATTGAGCACACAAGAAGCGTAACAAGATGGCAGCTGCAGTGACGTCATGAACAGTTGAAACTCGTCTCCGCGGAGGCCAGGACTGGTATAAACGGACACCGTTCTTAGAAGAATGTACGAATGGGGATGGGTGACCGTTTCTAAAATGACTATTTCTAGATGTTTAGGTGCGGCGTTTGGAAAATTTCTTTTAAACTACGAACCTATTGGTTTGATAAAACTCAATATGATAGACGCACACAAAATTTGTAGAATGTGGTCTTCTGGGATGAAGATAGGAACGATAATTTCCTCCGAAACGTTTGTAACTGCCCACGGCGCCATGACAAAGAAGACAAAAACCTACATTTTAAACTCTACGAGAACCTCAGATATCAGATATACCAGGCTTTTGATTTGCTTTGGTTGAGTTAATTTTAAGGAAAACTTAATTTTAAAACCTAAGTGAAATTTTAAGTCTTTCGGGTCCTTGAACATATTTCGACAAAACTTAATACAGCCTACCCTACTTCAATGATAAGGAACTATCGTAATTTTATTCGCTTTATATGTTTTCTGAAAACTGGAGAGCTCTTTTTGGGCAGAGCAATTGACCTGTCGTAAGACAGAACACTGAATTAAAAAAAAAGTTTTTTTGCCAATTTTACTGAGGGGCTCGCTCGGTAACTATTCCGACCACACCACAGTTTTGTCTTGTCACTGATTTCGAGAAAATAATTAGTACCCACAACAAAAATATCTATTAACGTGTACCACTGATAGCGTCGTCCAAGCTCCATGTCGTGTACGTGTTGTCCTTCATAGTAACGCGTTGCCTATGGTTAGACACGAGACACATGGGCAACAAACCACGTCTCCCTTACGTCACTTTTCCTTACACTCAAGACAGCCGGTAGTCCGGCAGCTCCGAACCGGCTGCGCCATAAAGTCAAATGGGACGTTTCTAGAAATTACGTAAGTCCTTTTCACGTTATTCATATTAGGGGGGGAGGGATCAGGGTTCAACTTGAGTGCTACATGCCTCGATAACAGAATTTTTGTAGTTGTTATAAGCCCAACAACAAAACATCACGCATGCGCATCAAAGTCCCTTCTACCACTACGCTCAGTTTACCCACCCTTTGGCCATTACTTACCGCGGGAAAAAATATAGTCGGATACTTTTTGGACAGACGTCGTAAAATCACCTTAAACGTCTTGTTTGATTATGAGTAGCTGCAACGTGTGAGATATTAGAGGAAATTATTAAAATATTTGTTATGGATACAGAGTATGAAACGGGATATAAGAACGACTGCTTATGGTACAACTTGAATTACAGGCGTGCGATAAACATTCATCTAAAATACGGACACGTTTTATAGAACATTTGAATAGGCGGGCCTGTAATAATTTCAGCTGTTGATAGATACATATTTAATCATAATACTCTCTGCCCTTATGGAACCCGAGGTTTAACCTCCGTTAGTACAAAAGTACTGCATTCGACCCTTGCCTAACTCAAATCAGTAACCCCTTGGGTTCATATTTTCTACGAGATACATTTTAATGTGATACGCAGATCTTTAAGTGGTATCTTTCCGCTGGGTTTTCCACCATAATTTTGTAATCATTTATTGGTTCTTCGTGTATTCTAGATGCCGTAAATGTAATTATTCCCACAGTCTCAAAGCAATTACTTTAATAAGTGATTTTTTTTTGTCGAGATCTGCACCAAGAGAAATCGTAGGGATATTCGTGTTAAAAGTGAATAGTATGGCAGGACTGGAAGCTGCAAATCCGCACGATTCTCCTGTGAGAAAAGAACTTTGAGGTAAATAGAAATAAAAACACTTTATCATGAGTGTACTAAGAAGATATTCCATTTATTTATGCAGTATACACATAATTGATTGTGATCACTTCTCAAGACAAATTTATTTACAGTTAGCCTACAGAGTGGAACACTTATCAAATATGTCGGCACCACCAAGCTACTTCACGGTACATGAATTACGGTTCATTTTCCATCACCGTATTAAACCAATCGTTAATTTGGTTTTAACGGTTTCTAAACTTCAAGACAGACCAGAGATGTCTATTGTTTCGAGAAACAAATTAAGATTCCATTCAAGAACACCAGAAACAGGCATAATTAAATATTTCAATTATGGACTGGGCTTCCGGTGTTTGATCCCGGTGAAATATTCACTTCACTGAACCGGCTATTCGGTAACATAGGCTGTTACCACAACTTGAAGCCGACCAATATCCCTTTCTTGAAGAATGCGTGGAGCCTTATTTCCAGGGCCTCCATGCACCTTCATGTGGCTATTAGGTACAGGTATCGTTTATTATTGTATTACTCGACAAGTATTCGTGATGAATGAAGAAAAAATCTGAAGTTGAACTCAGAAAGCATTGTTATTGAAACGTCTAATAACATCGCCCACTCTAGGGACCACACATCGACAATTCACTGATCCCGTATAGAATGACGGGAAATGACGTTTTATTCAACTTTTAATTAAAGAATTTCTTTGAAAATCACATTTTCAGTTTGAAATGTTGCCTGTAATTTTCCTTGTACTTTGTCCCTTCAAGACACTCTGAATCCGTGCTATTCTGTCAACAACCAATTCCCGATAGACAGTTCATCAACACTTCTTTATTATATTCTGTTATTAAGATAATGAACGATTCATACTTTTGCACCGGACCATGAAGTTATAGAAGGGACAATTGAGGCAAAACACATTTTTAATTCAGCCACTAATCAAGGTGAATGATCAGCTTCATTTCAGGTCAGTTCACTAGCGAGAAAATTCATTATTATTGATATTATATTATCGTCATCATGACTGCAAAATGCCCTCAGATGCAACCACGATTACCAATCGCTGCAAAATGCCCTCAGATGCAACCACGAAAACCAATCGTGTGTTTAGTTTTAACGGGATTGGAACCTCGACTTGGGAAGTCGCTTTCCTGATGTTGGATTTTTCCTGGTAAATGTCTAAAAACTTTAAAAGCATTAAGTTCCTCGAAGGAATTATTAAACTTTCAGTTCGTGTATAAAAGGAAACACGACACATCTCCGTTACAAAGATAAACTTGCAAATTATATTTAAGGAAATAAACGCTCTCTATTCTGAGAATCATGCAAAACCGCGATAGACCACTACCTTCTACAGTGCGTCTACTGCCATCGTCAAACACAACACTCTCATCCCGACTGCCGGCAGGAACTGCATGACCAAACGCCAAGCGCTACAAGATTTTTTCCCCATACGAGAGAAATAAAAAAAAAATTAACGTACCTTGAAAAGGTGCTTAAAATTACGTCCCTGCATACGCAATCGTTGTCTGTGCTAATTAAATAAGTTAAAATTCACTGTTTAATCGCTTCAACTGCTGGCGATTTCGAGATTCCGGTCTCTTGACCAAGACGTATCAATGATTTCTGTGGCGTGTTTTAACTTGTACCATCTTCCGTCTATTTTTATAAACACTGCGTCTTTTTCTGATTTCTTGTCCAGAATTGACTCAGCTCATCAAACTTTATTAACACGTTCATGGACACGCGTTGAACTGTACCTTATCTGCACACACAAAATAACCGCTGATCACAGCTGTACTGTTGTGTAAATAAATTTAGAAGCAGTTTTAAGTGTTTGGCGGGAACAAGGATTAGAACATTGCGTGTAACCATGCCAATGAACGCGGTGAACACACTTCTCTTCTGGTTACCAAGGTGCTAGTCTTTTTCGGCAATGTTTACTCGAAACGCCATCAGCAGCTTGTGAACATTGCTTGGTGACACCGACCTCAGCGCCTCTACACACAGACTCACAGGCCTCGGTGTACACACACAGGCTGGCCTACATTGATTCATCTCTCTCTCTCTGTCTCTTTGGTTTCAATGACTAAAATATACCACGATACATTTAAATTCTCAGCTTGGCGTACTTGTACGTCCTACAAATTGGGTGGAATCTTCCACACCATGAAAAAAGATACTCGTATGTACAGGCAAATCACTGTACAAACATCTGACAGTCAGAAAACACAAGTAACTTGGAACGTTTGTAGAAACACAGTCGAACGTGGCGCTGAGAGCAGCAGACAGGCAATTGTTTCAACAGACCAGTTTATATAAGAACAGATTGATTCCCGTCCCTGAAATCAAGTGTAATGGAGAATGATACGTTCAAGGAAACAAGCTAATCGCTATTTTAATACGGACCAAGCTCACAGAAGCCTTGTTTCTGTATATTGTTTTAATGTAAATCTTTCGCCCATTAGATGTAATAATGCATTAGATTTAATTATGGCTATTACAACTACAACAAATTTAAACATATATATATTTATAGGCCTACAGGTAAAAATCTATAAAACAGTACTTCAATATTAACTTAATTTTAAAAATTCTGTCTAATCTATCGCTTCAAATATGTTGAAATTTATACGCCTTAGGAAAAAAACATATTTGTGAATTTTACGGGAGATTCTAATAAGTCAAAATTTCGAACGAATAAATACTGTGCTAGAGCATTAAACAAAATGCAAAGATTGTGAGAATTAAGTTGAAATTACAAATGCAACCAATCTTTGTTGTAAGAATATCTTCTAAACGTGCAGATCGTCCTGCTCATACTTCAGCCGGAACATCACTGGTCAGAACACATTCTTACGTCATAATCACGTTACGTTCCTCAGCGTCGGTAACCAAACTTGTGCTCAACGGACCATCAGAATTGCTCATGATGTTGTAGAATACATCTATAAATTATTACGCCTATACCAAAACGCGGTCATAACAACTACGTTAATCATGACCAGTTATTAAGCCTACGTCACCTTACTCTGTGAAACGTAGGCCCATACTTAAAATACTGAATCCATCGTTTTTGAAAATATTTCTCCTGCAATTTTCAAGGCCTTCTGAAATGACCCCACCTTGAAAATGACATCTGTAATGTTTACCGAAACGTCGGTTAATACGAAATATTCGACGCGGCTCTCGCCGTAAAGCTGTAGTTACTTACTGAACTCCAGCCGCGAAAATCTACGGCTAAGAATAAAGTTTTAAAATACATATAATTGTTCTTCTGTGGAAACAATTGCACATCTGCAATGCTTTACCAAAGCACCGGCCGTTTCTATGGTTTCAAATTGTGGAAGAATTCAGTTATATTGAGTCTGTGACTGCTTCCGTCACTACGCGGTTGTTTTCACTAAAATGTATCTATTAGAGACGGACTGGCGATATACAGACCTCTGAAGGCTAAATTGTCATGGTACCTCGCTGAAGTTTCCACTTAATCTCGTTCAGACGCAATAATATTTCGTAAATATTCATTTATTTCGTTTGCATGTTTGAACTTACGTGAAAGAACACTCAGAACGCCGTAAGCTGTTACTGCAAAGTACACTGAAGTGACCAAAGATGGCAGTAAAATACGGCGTATTTACACACTGAAGTGCGATAGATATTCTTTGTCAAACTGACCTGACGCTAACTTGTGAAACAGAAGTACATGAAATTAAGTAACAGCGCGTTTGGACAAATGAACACGTAAATAGTGAATGGCCCGATCCGAATTTTATAACAAGGTACGTGTGATTCTAGGGAGAGTTTTGCCACTTTTATAACACCGAAATTTTAACCATATCGAGACTTTATCATGAGATTATTTTGGAAGAAAAAGGAAGAGTAAATATTTTAGTAAGTCTTTCGATATCAGCTTCAATTCTATGCTAATCGTTCTTTTTTCTAGGCACCATATTCTAATCACTCAAAATGTCGGTAATCCTGCGGCAAAGACACAAGTCAGTGGCCCGGACATCATGGAAACCAGCGGCCATTACCGGTGGTTTGTACGAGGGCCTGAAACTCAGTCAGCCAGTCCGTCTCTCTGGAGATGGCAGCACTTGTCGCTGCTAGTTTCACCTCCCGGCGCCTAGGTGCAACGATGCGGTATAGTTGTTGTTCACGTCACCCGTCAACGGCGGAGTCATGCTGGATGTTCGGAAACCCGCCGAGGCACCGTTCAGCGAGGTCGTCTGCGAGAGAGGCGTGGAACGTTAACATGTCATCACAGCGGAATGCGAAGATATTCGATAGGTGCTGGTTTACTCACCGGTAAATGGCTGGTCTGTAGCTTAAGATGTGCGAAGTTTGGAGGGTTGTACGCCATGCTGGCGAACATGAGTCTCTCCTCGTAGTCGTACTCGCAGAGGATCTTGTTGTCACACAGGTAGAAGCGGTCGCCCACACAGAACCTGCAACAACGCGTTGTCCCGTGTAGAGGCGGGCCCCATTGTATAATGCGCACACATGGAACTGAATTATATCGACGTGAAAAAAAAATTCAGACCAAATAACCTCTCATGATTACTTATGCTTTTTAGTGTTTCGTGAGACATGTACAAATTTTTCTGCGTTAATTTTTTCAATAATCTGTTCAATACTGTGTTTCATGTCCTCCAAGTTTCATGGGTTATTCGAATAAACTTTTTCTTTGAAAAAAGCTCACGGAAATAAGTACTCGTGAATACATCATGTTCGCTCCCGTACAGCTCTTATAACTGGTGTGAGAAGTGGTCTGGCAACCAGGGTAACCTTGACTTCCATGTCACGGAGTTTCGACTTAATTTTCCTACCGTAGTACCAGATTGTTGGGTTTCGTTTCAAACGGTACATAATGTTTAATGTGGCATTCACGACTTGAAAATCCACAGTCAGTAACGGACACACCGCGGCAGAATTGTTACCTAAGCGTCGAGTTCTGCCGCCGTCCAAGATGTCCCACTTCGATCCTGGAGCACGGCAACTCAAAGATACAGCTTTTAATAAAATAAAGTCCAAGAACACTGTTTCTCCTCATTTACGGGAAGGTTTCATGATGGCAGGAAGACATTCTGGAACGTAGACTGGAATTCGCTATCATGACGTGCTTTCAGAAAGAGGAAGACATCGAAGACTTGCCCCCTGACAGCTGAATTGTAGTTTAAGACAGTGGTATTCAACCTTTTTTGTTCGCGTACCCCCAGATATAATTTCTCTTCAACTTTGTGCCCCCAAAGTTGTTGGTGTATAATTCAAGTTATACGTAATATATAATCTACATCCAAAATAAATTAAATAAATTACATTCCTGATTATTCAGTGTTTATCATAAAATAATATATTTTTTTAAATTTCACATACCCCCTAAGATGTCTTCGCGTACCCCAGGTTGAATTCCAGTGTTTAAGAGATCAGACATCGGGATATCATGGCTCTTCTATCCTTCAGTTAGCCCATCCTACTTCTGGCAAGTCACTCGCCTGTCTACCCCAACCCCTCACATGCAAGTATCCGTCAAGCACCTGATACAGAATAGCTAACCAAGCAGAGTTGTCATAGCCGAAGGGTTACAATTCATAACTTGTTTCTTTCCTGAAATTCAACCAGTTTCAAATCCTACCTCAATTACATCGTCTGCATTAATCTGTCTTACATTCTGTAGTTTAACCTACTTCCTCAAATGACTAAACTTTTTTGAACACTGTTTTTCGTGTCGTTATAACCTGGCTCGAAGACACATTTTTAACGAAATTTTGAGTTCTCTTTTAATCCTTTCCGAAGCCCCACAGCGCACCAATCCAGAAGACAGCCATGTTAGCGTTCTTGATTTTTAATATTTCCTTATGATCATTTATTTATTTATTTTTGTTGAAATTCTCACCGCAACCATACAGTCATACGTATTAGTAAGCTACTCTAAAAGATAAACTATTTTATCAGTCAAAACCTGATCAGTCCCATTGTGCATCAATCAGTGTATCAAAACTTTGCGATGACAGAATATCGTACTCACTACAGCCATATCTTCTGGTGTGACATTGTTTGTTTCCTTCGCAAAGTCACAAACACACTTTGATTTCCAGTGTCTGCGAT